CACACCTGAGCTTTATGTCCTCACTCCCTGTCTCTCTCCCTCACTCCTGAAGAAAGCTCTACAGCTGAATCCCTCTGTCCCTCCAGTCTGTTTCCCAGCGTGGAACTGACCTTCACTCGTGCCCGGCAGCCTTCCTGGAAGAGACTCACCCTGGCCCGGACCTCGCACTGCCGCAGGCGGCACTTCTGCCTGATCTTGTTGGGGCCCCCGAACTTCTTCATGTCCTTGCAGAAGTCACACTGGGCACAGTCCTCTGTCCTCCGGCACGGCTCGCACTCCCCACACATCCGGGCCGAGCGCTTGATCTGCAGGGCAGAGGGGAGGGGGGTCAGAGGGCGAGACGGGCGGTCAGAGGGGCGAGACGGGCGGTCAGAGGGGCGAGACGGGCGGTCAGAGGGCGAGGAGGGGGGTCAGAGGGCGAGGAGGGGGGTCGGGCAGAGGGGAGGGGGGTCAGAGGGCGAGACGGGCGGTCAGAGGGGCGAGACGGGCGGTCAGAGGGGCGAGGAGGGCGGTCAGAGGGCGAGGAGGGGGGTCAGAGGGCGAGGAGGGGGGTCAGAGGGCGAGACGGGCGGTCAGAGGGGCGAGACGGGCGGTCAGAGGGGCGAGACGGGCGGTCAGAGGGGCGAGACGGGCGGTCAGAGGGGCGAGACGGGCGGTCAGAGGGGAGGGGGGTCAGAGGGGCAAGACGGGCGGGCAGAGGGGAGGGGGGTCAGAGGGGAGGGGGGTCAGAGGGCGAGACCGGCTGGCGAATGAGATTTAGATTGTGGAAAGGATACCATCTTATCTCAACTCACAGTCAGAAGGGTTGGAAATAATAATGGTGATTTAAACCAATTTATTTAACCAATAAAGGTTGCAAATAAGGTTGAACCCGGACTAAATTAATCTCCCCATGATGACCTGATTTCACTTTCCCATGTAAAATATATATAAATATTTCCAAATAAAAATATTTCTGTGTAGACCATGTTTGTTTTATCCCTAATGACCAGACTAATATAATATACATCTGACTAAGTAAATCTATTTCTCTAATTGCCCCCCCACTGTTGACACAATGTCCGCTGTTCTGAAAAAGTGCAACGGTCATCTAACAGAAGAGATGCAAGACAACAGAGGCTAAGCGGTCCATGCACGTTAGACCTGTAACCTGGTTCATCCATAACGAACAAGTGGAAACAAACAGGAGACGTGAGTGCGCTGACCCTTGACCCCCGCCGCCGGTCAGTCTTGAAGTCCGGAGTGCCGCGCTGCTTCTCCAACCGGTCCAGCTCTGCCTCCTTCTCCCGGCTCTTCTTGAGCCGGTACTTGATCTCCAGGGAGGAGTCCTTCTCTGAGGAGGGGAGACAGGGTCACACTGACTGACCGACACCCCTCCTCTCGGGCAGTCAGGCAGAAGAGAGCTGACCAGTGACAGCAGCGTGATCCAGTCCAGGTTTCACCAGGACCTACAGCAACAGCTGCACTTCCAGCCCGTGACCTCAGAAAGAACGTGCTCGTACGCCATGACGTTAACGTACGTCTACCTTTCGGCACCGGCTGTGCGGTTCGCACACTGAGATCGGCCTGCAGCTCACAGCAAAACCCGGAATGGACCAACCTGCTGTGCAATACGAGACAGGTCTGTTTCCCCACAGTGTCTTCTGAACAATCAGTAACACACAACCAAAACGTTTAAAAAAAATCATCCAGCCTGTTGCCCCGGATTTCTAAATTACTTTCTGTAGCCTGGATAAAACAGCCGTGTCCCTTCCCATGACTTCACAACACAGGGAACCTGAACTACACACAAGGGTCTCCGGCACGCCTGAGCCTCGAGGCTGCTCCCCGAGGGAGAGTCCCCCGGAGAGAGGAGAGGCAGGTCCTCACCCCGGCACTTCCCGCAGTACCACTCCCGGATCGCCTTGGCCATCTTCTCCGTCACGTTGATGCAGTTGCCATGGAACCACTCGTTACAGCGGTCGCAGCCGCTGCAGATGAGGAGATCACGCATGGCACACACAGATGGGACACGCATGCACACACAGGGCCATCACACGCACACAGACAGACACGCGTGCATGCACAGAGCCATCACGCACACAGATGGACACGTGTGCAAGCACAGAGCCATCACACACACATAGACGGACACGCGTGGACACACAGGGCCATCACAAGTACACAGACAGACACGCGTGCACACACACACATGGCACACACAGATTGACACGCATGCATGCACAGAGCCATCACACGCACACAGACGGACACGTGTGCACACACACACATGGCACACACAGATGGATACACGTGCACGCACAGGGCCATCACACGCACACAGACGGACACACGTGCACACACAGAATCATCACACACACACACAGACAGACACGCGTGGACACACAGGGCCATCACAAGTACACAGACAGACACGCGTGCACACACACACATGGCACACACAGATGGACACGCATGCATGCACAGAGCCATCACACGCACACAGACGGACACATGTGCACACACACACATGGCACACACAGATGGATACACGTACACGCACAGGGCCATCACATGCACACAGACGGACACACATGCACACACAGAGCCATCACACACACACAGACGGACACGCAGACACGCAATCCAGATGCACAGGAGAAAGAAAAGAGAAGAAAACACCAGTGCAACAGTCAGAAACAAAAATGTGAGCTCAAACCCTTACACCAGAGGTGACGAACCCTGGTCCCGCAGGCCAGCAGACTCTATAGGTCATCGCTAAGTCACCCATTTCTCAAGATTAGTCAAGATTTCACAGTAATGAATAGAGCAGGACATTTTGAGATAATATAGGACCAAATCACTTTTCTCTCAGTCTCCATGGACCACAGTATTGTTAACTGATTAATTATTACATCAATGTTACCAAAGTCTAAAGACCTAAAAGACTACTTGACTGGGGCTCTCCAGGACCAGGCTTGGAGACCCCTGCCTGACACAGTGCACAGTACCAAGCTGTGTCGTACAGGAAACCTCTGTACAGACCTGCACTCTAACACTGTGCACATGGCCAATATTCTGTTATAAACTGTTCCATAGCTGTTCAAAACTTTTGACAATACCCTTGTAACACACCTCGCCAACAAAGCCCATTTTGAATTCTCAATCTCACCAAGCACAACTAATAAACAACAACAACAACACAATTTGACTCGCAAGTTTATGTTTCTTCTAGACTTCCTAAGATATTGAAAAATAAAAAGGGAGGCTTTGTCTAGGCTGTGCAGCATGAGGGGCGGAGGGCTGCGTCGAGGCTGTGCAGCGTGAGGGGTGGAGGGCTGCGTCGAGGCTGTGCAGCGTGAGTGGCGGAGGGCTGCGTCAGGGCTGTGCAGCGTGAGGGGCGGAGGGCTGCGTCAGGGCTGTGCAGCGTGAGGGGCGGAGGGCTGTGTCAGGGCTGTGCAGCATGAGGGGCGGAGGGCTG